GCGACCCTCCGCGGCCCCGTGGTCCTCCGCAGCCAGCCTCCATGGACTCGTTCGCCCCGCAGCAGCCGAGGCTGCCCCGCGCGCGCTTCGCTGGCACCTCTGGCCGTGGGGCGGCCTCCGTCAGGTACGCCGGGTCGAAGCCGCCGAGGGTGGCCGGGGATGCGCCGTGCAGCGGCTAACGCCTCGGGCGGCAGGGCGTGGTCTGATATGGCTTCCTTGCGGAGGATTGTTTGAAACGGCTCCCCGAAGAACGTTTGCCGAGGGGGGAACGGGACGGCGGCCTTCCGGAGGGACCGTGCTGTGGCTGTGGCTCGACAACCCACCGCGGTTCCTGGGAAGACCCCATTGTGACATCCCCACCCCACGGACTGGTCTCCCCTGGAAGCTTTCCCACCGGCAGCCCACCGCTAGAGGCCCTGCCTTCACGCGAGTGGCGCCCCAGCAACTCTGCCGCTTGACCCCCTGTGCTCCTAGGTGTCCAGAGCGTTTGCCCCGGACCGCCGCTCGGTTATAGCGTTCCCGGCTCCCTGCATGCACATCGGCAGCGTCTCCCCTCACCTGTCCCTGGCCGCTGCATCCCATGCCCCCTCCACCCCGGGGAGCGCCCGTTGCAGGGACGTGAAGGTCATTGGGGGCGCAGGAGGAAAAAAAAAACTGTATAGGGAAAGAAGGCTCGGAACCCCCCAAAAGCGGCAGACACCAGGTCCCTGATAGAATGCAGGAGTGCCCCAGGAGTGCCGGTGTATGGGGAGGGGAGTTGATATTAGGGAGGGCCGTCCTGCCCTGCACGGAAGATCTGTTTCCGATTTCTGCTTTCTGTCTTTGGGGCTGACCTTGATAGTCTGGGCATTGTTTGTGACCGAGCTGGTATGGGGCTGGCTGCCAGCGAAACGTGGAGGTTGGAGAGGTGGAGGTGTTGCGGTAGGGACCTATAAGAAAGGGAAGGGAGAGTCACTGAGGTTTGGGCACTGCTAAGCTGTCATTAAACTAGAAGAGGCTTTTTGTTTGCGTACTTGCAGCCATTTGGCAAAGCAAACACGTTATTGTTCCCTTGAAAGGGGGTTGTCAACTAATATGTTAGAATGGCTCTTCCTATGTTCTGTCTTTTTTTTTAATTGAGGAGGGTCCTCACTCTGTAGACCAGGCTGGCCCACCTGCCTATGCCTCCCGAATGTTGGCGTTAAAGGCTTGTGCCACCATGCCTGACCTGCTTTTTCTGTGTTTTTGTTTGGGTATTTTAATGTTCTGTGTGCATGTGTGAGCGTTTCCATCCAGTGTTGAGGGTCAAATCCCAGGGCATTGCTTACACGAGACAAGTGCTGTATCACATCCAGCCTTGTTTTCTGTAGAGTTTTGTTGTTTGGTTTTTTTTTAATTGTTATTTTTGTATTTAGGGGGTGTTGTTTGTTTTAATTGGATCAAATCTATGAAGAATAAAAAACTTTATTTTTAAATTACATTTATTTTAGTGTGTGTGTGTGTGTGTGTGTGTGTCTGTCTGTCTGTCTGGTGCGTGTCTGTCTGTCTGTCTGGTGCGTGCCACAGTGAGAGTATGAAGGTGAGAGGACAGCTTGCCTGGAGTCTTTTCTCCTCTTGCTCCTATGTGGGTCTCCAGGATTGGACTCACTCAGTCTTGGCAGCAAGTGCCTTTACCCACGGAGCCATTCTGCAAGCCCCAAAACTAATTCTCTTCTTTGATTTCCCAGGATTCCTTCGCACATTCTGGCAGTGTGTTTATTGGATGACTTAAGACATGAAGGAAGAGGGAAGCGATTAGATAGTAATGAAACAATGCGTTCAGGAGTCCTGGTTTGCTTCCACTTTGACACTGTGAATTTCTCTGCCCCTCAAGAATTCTTCACAGTGTGTAGTGGTTAGCTGCTTGTGGACACAGTCTCCACTCTCTCTCGGTGCTTCTGCCAGATAGTACCACTGTTTGAAAGTGTTTGAATGTTGTACGAATATTGAACAGGATGCTTTCGACCTTGCAGCACCCATCCAATAAATCTAGGCTGTCTGAAGGGGTGCATGCTTGTCCGTGAGTGCCACGTTTGTTTGGTGTGGTGCTGGAGATGAAACCTTGTAAATGGCAGCCAAGTGCGCTCCCTCTGAACTGTGTCCCCATGACAAGCTCAGTAACCTTTATTTGAATTTTAAAAAGAATTGCATTTTAAAATATTTCAGTTTAGGTTTATTTTTAAGGATGAGTGTACCTTGTTTGTCTGTGGCAATGTGCAGGTGAGTGCAGGTACCCAGTGAGTTCCAGGCACTTGTAAGTTGCCGGCCTTCATCTCAGGTTCTCTACAAGAGCAGTACGTGTTCTTAGCTGCTGGGCCATCATCTTCTTGGGAGTTGATTCTTTCCTTCCATCATGCTGCTCTCGGATCCCACTCATGTCATCAGTCTTGGTGGCAAACTCCTTTACCCACTGAGTTATTTTGCTGGCTCTCGATTTGAATATTTTGAGACTTAAGAGTGGAAAAGCAACTTTACTATAAAAAAAAAAATCCATCTCCAGAATAGATGCTTCCCACCTACTTGCTTCTTGCTCATCTTTTTTTCTGAGACAGGTTCTCACTAGACAGCCCTGGCTGGCTTGGAACTTGTGGTAATTTCCCTGCCTGTGTCTCCAGAGCTGGGATTGAAAGAGTGTGAACCATACCTGGCTTATTTACTTTCTTTTTAAAAAATATATATATAATTTTTTATTAGTGGATTTGTGTGTGTGCGGGAGTGTGTGAGGTAGGGAGAGGGGGCGGGCACATCGCTCACATGGCACATGTGTAGAGGTCAAGAGGGTAGGTAACCTGTTCTCTCCTTGCATAGTGGGTCTGGGGACTGCACTCAGGCCATCGGGCTTGTACATTAAGCACTTTTACCCACAGAATCATCTCTGGCTCTTTACTTCCTTTCATTTTCTCTTTTTCTTATTTTCCTTTTTTTTTTTTTTTTGAGACAGATTCTCACTAAGTAGCTTTGGATAGCCTAGAACTCACTGTGTAGACCAGACTGACCTTGAACTCATAGAGTTCCCGCCTGCCTCTACCTCCCCAGTGCTGGGAGCTCTTTACTTTCTTAAAAGTAGTATTTTTATGTTATTATATATAGGCTTGGGAGTATCCAGTGCCCTCTTCTGACTTCTGCAGGCACTGGCAGGTGTGCAGCATACACTCACACAGACGAACGTACACGCATACGTGCGTATTTAAAAATGCACACACGTTGGTTGACTTTATTAATCATCCCTAAATTGAATTTTGCATAAAGTGGTTTGACTGAAACTTGACTTCAGACAGTGCATGGTTTAACATCTGGCCTTTGGCAAAGAAATTTTGGTGAAGGGTCCCCTCATTTCTCCACCTCCCTGTAGTTAAACATGCTTTTCTTATTTCCTTATTTTCCCTAGTGTTTCTGAATTAAGTCTTATTCTGTTGCCCAGGCTGGTTTTGAACTTGGTTGATCCTCCTGCCTCAGCCTCCTGAGTGCCGAGATTTCAGGCCTTTGCACCATGCCTGGCTTTCCCCTTCACTCTTGACGTTTTGAGGGTTTCTATCAAGTTTCATCTTGGCAGCGGCATTTGGTTTCTTTCTTTGAGTTTGGTTTCTTGGTAGCTCTCTCCCTCTCTTTCCCGAGTGATGAAAGAGGCGGGCCTAACTAGTGAAGTCACATTCCTAGGGGCGTAGACAGCACTTGCGAGTGCCTGGCTCTCTTCTGTGAGAGAGTCCGTTCTCACAGATGGGGAGTGGATCAGAAGTGAAAACACTGTTCCTCAGAGCGAGCCTCCTTTCTCAGGCTATGATAGTCAGCACGCTGTCTGTAAGATGACTTTGGTTTCTGTCCCCCAAGCATGTAGAATTGTTCTCCCCTTCCAAATTCGCTTGAGTTCTCAGCTCTTAGCTCTTGGTTAGTGAAATGTGCATAAAAAGAACACTGTAGTCCTTTTCAGTAAGAGCTTCCACAGTGTAATTTGTTACTCTCTTTCCTTCTGCTGTGGTGGCTGTTGTTGCTCCAAATGGC